CCTCTCCCTTCACCGCCCCTTAACTTTGAATCCCCAATACTTAAAATAAATACATTTCGATAAAATTTGTAAAATTTCGATTTTATTTAAATTGCAGGTTTAACTTAGTCCCGCGTGATTGTATGCAAACATTTTGCATTCTTTCGACGCGCGAAAATTGCTTAATAACCCAATTTCGCACATGCAATATCGAAGATTCAACTTTGCATCATTCCTCTGGAATTTTTATTCGTATTTTGTTGAAGGATAATTTTGAAATCTACGACTGTAACCTCATTTTACATTGTGCAATGGTGCAAATGGTATAATTACTTGACCACCTTGCCTGAAGGTTTCTCTGAGGGAAAATGCTTTAAAACAAATTTTCTTTTTTTGCAAATTTTAGCAAAATTAGCCTAACAAGATTTCCCCTCATTTACATCAAGTTTTTAAGTCTTCTTCTCCTTCAAGATTTAAGCAATGTTTACCCATCGTACAGAAAAAAATTCGTTCTTTTTAATATTTTAAAATTAGTTTCAGATATAATGTTTAAATTCACCTTTGCAACAGTCCTATTATTGATCTTGATTCTAGGAACGATAGTAATGATAAATTGAACAAAAGAAAGGATTTTAAATTTGGTTTCACCCCACACTCTTTCAAGCAAGACATATACTCCCCAGAATCCCCCCCCCTTTCTCTTTCTTTTAGCATGTTTTAGATAAGAAACTAATCGGAACTATGGCTTCTGAACTGGGTCAAATCAAATCAAAAGGGTATCCGAACTAATCGAATTGTTTTCATGAAAATATCGAGTAGTTTCAAATACCCTCACATTATAACTCCATTTTCCCAATGAAGCTACAGTAATGAGCCCTAAACCCAACCTAACCTATACTTTGAGAACTTATACATTTCTCGGTCAGAGAATTGTATAGTCGGAAAAATACGTAGGTTCGTTTCTTTTAGGTCGGATCGGAAGGTACCCGGGATGCATTTTTATTATTCGAAATTTCAAAAATTATGATGGATTATTAAACAGGAAATGGAGTTTAACATTTTTCTTAAATTATCAAAACTTTTTCAAATTTTCAAATTTTAAAAAAATAATTATTTTTATCCCTGTATTGGATTAAGTGTGATATCTCTTCTGAAGTTCTTCAAACTATTTCATGACTGAACACCGCCCACCTTTTACGGTTAAATAAGATGTTGGCAAAAGAGGTATAGCTCCATCAAGCTGGCAAAACAGAAAGTTTTATCCCCCCTCTCCCCCCCCCCC